TACAATAAAAGAAAATAAGGAAACCATTCTTCAATTGGGTGCAAAAAGAAGAATTTCCTGCTTGCAACTGGATCTTTTTCTGGTTCGTGAGGCCACTTTAGAAACTTTATGTCTGCATAGTTACATATTAATTATTATTTCTTATGTTTAGAGACAAAACAATTTTATTTTCTCTGATAACCCTCCATTACTGAATCTTGCTATTATTTATTTCTTACAGTTGAAGTTAGGTTTGTAAAGAGAGATGACATCTACATGAGTCCATGTTATGAACAAGACACTTGCTTTATCAATGTTATTTCTTATAGGTAAGTAACAGTCTGTTTTTTTTTATTTTGGGGGAAGTGCTTGGAAAGCTTAGAAGCTCTGCAAAAATTAGTTTTAAACCCTATGCAGTAGTTTACAAAACTAATCATTCATTATATATTTAATGTTATGTTTTTCTCTGAGCTTGAATAAATGCAGGGATGTAGGAATCAACCTACATACATGTATAATTGCTTTCTAGTCAATAGTTTATTTCATTAACTGGTGCACTTGAAAGGTATGGAATAGCAGTAAAAATTGTACAACTGTATTTTCACACTTGAAAGGGTTATTTCTTTGAGAGCATATTTAGTTATATTACTGTTTTGTTGTTGTTGATTTTTCTATTTTTGTTTCTGTTTTTCTCTGCTCCTATGGAGAATTTTTTGCTCTCTTCTTACCTCCAACATATCTGGAAGGTAACTCTGAGGGTGTTGTTGGTAGCAATAACTTAATTATGTGAAGCATCAAAAAAAATCACAGCATGTGATTTGGAGATGGATGAAAGATTTTTTCCAATATATTTCCATCTGCCAGTTTCCAGCACTGCTGTTCCCCCCTGGTACTTAGTGCTGTCAATTATTTTCTTTTTCATCAACTTGTTCATTCACTATCTTTTGTTTGCAATCGTGTTTTTCCAGGCCTTATGAAAAATCACTTCCACATGAAAATTATTGGGAATACTATGAAAACCTTATGCTTTCAGTTGGGGGCAAGCCGCACTGGGCAAAGGTAAATTTTAATTTATTAGAATTCGCTGTAATTTGTTTTGATTAATGCAATATTTTCCAGTGATTTAAACATGGTCATAAAGACTAGGTCCAAGCTTACATTGCACCCAGTAGCTTTCCCTCCTACTAAACTACGAACATAGAATGATGATAATAATAATAATAATGATGATGATGATAATAATGATAATAATAATAATAATGACAATAATAATAGAATAAGAAATATGGTTAGTCTTAAGCTCGGTAAAGAAATAGAGAAAGATGTGCTTTGCTCACCATAGAGTCTCTGTGGCTCAGTGGTAGAGAATCGGAGGTCTAAGGTTCAATTCATCAAAGGTACTCAGAATTTTTTCTCTGCCCCACACCTTGTCGTGACGAGACGAAAACATCTTTCTCTTCAATAATAATAATAATGATAATAATACAAAACTGTTTCTTCTTATTACAAGGCGCACAAGTTGACATCATCGGATTTTGAAAAATTATACCCCAAGATACACAAGTTCCGAGAGGTCTGCCAGAAGTTAGATCCTCAAGGAATGTTTCGCAACGACTACTTGAAGAAGGCCATCTTTGGACCAGCACAAAAACTTGAAGTGGACAACAAAAAGACTAACGACGAGTAAAGTCGCCCTGGCGACCAACTAGCTTCTCTGGGTATGGGAGGGAAGTGGGGGGATAAAATTTGTTATCATGGGACTATGGTAGAGTTTATTATGAGGCAAAACCTCTGGTAACAGTTCCTTTCCCTGAACTTCCGAAAATCAGAGAAAGGAAGGATAAGAGAAGGTGAGAATTGGAGAAGAAACAGGGGATGTGGGGGGGGGGGGGGTGAAAAGCTCCTTTTCGTCACTCCCCCCTACTTCGTTCCCTTCCCAAATAGTTTTCAGTCCATTTGCTACATGCTCTTCTCTACGTATTACTAAAAATACTTGAGGAGTTTCAAAAGTAACTTAAAATAATACAAATTATGTCAGGTTTGGGATAATTCGACGTGTAAAACCTGATGAAAAGAACCAAAATTTTCCGTATTATGATATAATTGAAAAAGGTAACTAATTAAAAGGCAAAAAGTTATTTATCGCTGACCATGTTGTTCAACACATGGATATTACGATGATAGTGCTTCGATCGAAAAACTACGCATTACAAGTGGTATCAGTAAATGTTTACCACCGGAAGAGGGGGGGGAGGGGGTGAGGGAGTTGAGGATTTTTTCTTGTTTACTCACGGCATGAACAATAATTAGTTGAGTTAAATAATAAACACACAGTAGTCTCTTTCCGGTCGCCATGACAGTGGTGTCACTATTTCTAGTTTTGCTTGTGTAATAATGTGATATACATTAGTAAATTTATTGATGCTATAGGGTCTTAAAATGTTTCTTAATTAACTGTGATATTGATAAATCTGAATGATGTGTTGACGAATTCAGGAAGCAGTACGTACGTCAAAGCCTTAAGTGTGGTCTTTAAAGTTTTACGTTAAAGTTAATACCCCAGAAATATTAAAATTAAAATATTGAGACTAACAAAAAAGTTACCAAGGTTTTCACGAACACAGGTTATTAAGATTCAGTAATATAATATAAGGCATTCAGAAAGTGTTCACGTGAACACTGAATCTGTTAACTTATGTAGTGTGGTTTGCATATAGACCATACAATATTGCAATGTGTATAACGCATTTCCTGGTTATTAACACATTTTTATCGTGACGGAAGCTTCTTATTATTTTATTTATTTATTTGTGATGTAAGAATATCTTAAGAGCGCACCCAAGAGAATACACTTTAGCAAGTTGTCAAATTTCTTCGCGTAATAGTTGTCTTATTGCTAACATTGTGTTCAGTGCTGAACGAGATTTACATTTTGCGTACGTGATGTATAGTTGTTAGATAGTGAGATATTGTTGAGTTGTTGGACAAGCTTAGTCCAATTTCACAAATACTAAGTAACGGGAAAGTACTCTACTTGCTGTTTTTTATTGTTAAAGATATATAGTCTTGAGTAGACCTGCCGTTATGGAATGGCAATCTTTGTTGAATTATTTTGTAGCGAACTCAGTTATGAAGCGTTGGTGATGCACACTTCTCACATTTCGGAATATTTTATAATGGTGGCATCGTGTCACATAGCAGTATTCGCTGTAACCGAGAACAATATGTTTTACATCCAAACAGAAAAATTAAACCTTTCCTACTGAATCCATGTTCTGTTTTCTGTTGTTCAAGTCATGGTCGGTCACTCTGAAATCAGAACATTCACATCGTGGTATTTATTAAAGAACAATATATAGATTTAGCCAAGCCTAAAAACGGAGCTCGCGTTTTTTTTCCCGCACGTCTCAAGGGCACAACGCCTTGCCCCGGCCAGGACTAGATCCCGGGACGTCCGACTCGGAGCCCAGTGCACTGACCACTAGACTTGTGCGGTCGTAGGGTAGTAAATCCAAATTTTTTCGGCTTGATGGATTACTACTATTTTGTATAATTATGGGGCTACGCTCTGCGAGCTCCGCTATAAATTTTAATTAACGATATAAATAATTGTGCACGCTCGGTAGCTTAATAAACTTGTTCACTTTTTAATGAATTTACCACTAACCGCGCAATATCAGTTAAAGATATCCTAAGTCATGCGGCCCAACCTTCCGCGCCCGTGTCCCCACCCAACAAATGTCTCTGGATTCCCGTAGCCTTACTTATCACATTTTTTTCTACTATCCTAATTTGGAAATAAAGAGTAACTTAAGTTTTGAAAGGAACTGTTTCGCTGCGAACCTAGGCAAGTGAAACATAGTTTTTATAAGTTTATGAGCTAACGCAGTGAACGTGTAGAAGCTGACGTTTCGAGTGATAACTCGTGGCGGACTATAAGAAGACCTCCTAATCGTGGGTAACACGAGAGTGACCTTGTTTTGCGTATCCTACACGCATCTTGTGCCTCCTAAGGGCGTTTTATCTGGTTGGGCGCATTCCTCTCGAACCAAACAATGCCGTAAGCGTTCTCGAAAGTAGCGGGATAATTACAATATTTACCATATTTTTGAATTCTATTGAATACATACGCCTCAGGGAATCTGGATTATTTTTCTTGAAGGGAATAATCCTAAATGCTATTCCTTACTAGTTTACTATCAATATTTTAATGTTGGCCTCTAATCTGAAACACTTGTAATCAAGATGCCAGACAGGAATTTTTACAAGTACTTCAAGGATGTCCTTAAAATGACTTTCTTAAAATTGTTCCCATAATAGCCAGCAACTTGGCTCCTAATTAGGTGTGTCCTGGGCCAAAAGTTTTCGATAATTTTAACGCCGCGTTCTATCAGAAGAAGAACCCATTTTATTCGAGAATAAATTTCCCAAACAGCATAAAATATCAGTTCACATCTGTACTATTTATAATTAGTTATGAAGTAGCGAACACGAGTTATGACTCAGAACGTGTGAGCAGCGAAATAAATCCGATTACGTCAGATGTTTTCGACTATCGACGGCCAATACTAAAATTTTTTTGACGTCATCAACGATTTACACATCTGCCCCGCGTGAAAGACGAGAATAGAGTTGCATTCGCGGAACAAGTCGTTGGATTTGTACTAGAGAGGATGGCCGAAAGCGATCTTGGTAAGATTTTAATTCTAGAACCAATTCTTTAAGATACTTAACTTCAAGAAATGGAAATGGACGACTTTTGTCGGTATGAATATGCTCGCCTGTACCAAATCACTTAATGGCGGCCGTGAAATACTGTTTTGCTCAATTTCGCAATGATTTTGTCAATGAATTGAGCGGGTGAACAGATATTTGTGCGAATATAAGTTAACTTAAAGCTAGTATTGCGTTGAATTGTGAACATCTTGTCACACCGTCGGTACTAAAAGTAGTGTTTAATTGCACCTTACTGTTAGTTTCCTCGAGCGATTGACAGTGCAAACTCTATCAACGACTTGATAATGTGTTTGTACTGCAGAGTAAATGTAAGCGAAGAAAGGCACTCCTATCCTTAAAATGACCATTTAAGGCATTGTTCCTCGAATAAAAAAAAAAACACAGGGTTAGGAACGTAATACAAGTTTTTATGAACCTGATCAAACATAATTGGTTAATTTAGCAAGCTCGATCGTTCTCCAAGTTATTGTCGGCAATTGCTCCATTTTCTCTCTCACCTCTTCTTTTTTTATTTTTTTTGCGTTGAATATATCATCATATAATCCTGCCAGAATCTGATGCAAGCTTTGACATGATTTGAATCGAGTAGAATAGTTGTAATATTGAGATATTGTATGTTTAACATGTAAGGTTAGGTTATATGCGGTACTTCTGATGACAGGCAAGTGCGTGACGATCGAACGTTCGATCTCCTTTGTATGTAAGAGAAGATGGAGTAAATGGGGAAAATGACTAAGGGTGACGAAAGAAGTATAGATATGTTTACGTTGTTATTGCAAACGCCCTGCTGTTGACGATCGTGCTCGAACTTTCCGTTTTGTCTTGCATAGATCGTTATCGAATTAAAATTTAGTCCCTCGTAGTCTTAGTCGTAGTTTAGTCCCTCGTAGGGGAAGGAAACAAAATGCATATTAGTAATTCACAATATCCCTTGTATTTTTTTAGTTTTTTTCAAAGCTGGAAATATTATACACCTTTCATTCTTAGCTGTAGTGGCCTTCTTGATAAGAGAAAAATTTTAAATACTATGTTGTATTGATCTCAAACTAATTTATTGATTAAGTTATGTTGTGAATTCTATATTTAACATATAATATGTGACTCTTGATACGATTTTCATTCCTCACTCTTTGTGTGCATAAGTACCCACTCTTACATCTTAAACCTGGCTCTGGTCCAGATTTTCAGGCAGAAGCTATACTTAACTCGGTGGAAATAGCAGCCTTAACGTGTATTGGTACATGTACAATTATGCAATCTGCCTGCTAATTCAGCATGCATAAGTACTCATTGTTGTGTGTTACATCTTGCACAGTTTCAGATTTTCACACTCAGACTATGCTATATTTGGTGAAAATAGCAGCTTTCAGATGTTTTCGCTTTATGCAAACTATAGTTCAATATTTTAAGTCACTTTTTGTGCAATACAGAACGTGCTTTTGAAAGATGATCTCCAAAAAGGAATGAAAATAATTTGTTAATGTGGAAAACACCAAAGCAGTGATTGCACCTAAGGAGGAGAGAGCCAGAAAAGGAAAGATAAGATTAATGCAGGTTGAGAATAAAAAACTAGAAAAATTTAGGAAAAATTTTTCAAGATGCACTAGATAAGAGATCTCTTTTTTAGGACTTAGGGACATTGAACCTTTTCTGTGAGTAATAACTGATTTAAGCAAATTTCTCTCTTGACTAGAACTTTCAAAATCTTATGGTACTCTGCGTCATGAACCTCAGCCTTATGTGCCATCAAATCCAATCCATGAGAATGACATTGAAAGGTTACTGTCAGTGGAAAGTGAAGAAATGGAAGGCACATGGTCGCGCGTGAAAAAAACTAAAGATGCAGAAGTCTGGAGAAGGGAAGCAAATGAAGAAGGTTTTCCCCCAATTACAAAGGTGCTGTTTAATATATATTACCAGTTCTTTACTTTACTCTCTCTATTATTTCTCGCACTTGCAGTTGTCTGCTAGAACTACTTTTTAGCTTATGGTGGTTGGGGTTATTGTGGCTTAATGATATGCACTACTAGCTCGGAGGTAAAGAGGCTAGGGTTACCAGTAATGCCAAAATAATGTTGATTTGTTCTGCACTCTTGGACAAAAACATTACTCTCTCAGATTTATGGTGAATGGGTATTGAAATACTCAAAGAATGAATAAGATGAGACTAGCAAATTTCTATCTAGCAAGATTACCAATAGGAAAATGATACTATAAAAAAAAAACTCCTTTCTAGAGGCTTTAAAGACTAGTTCAGAAGGGTTTTTTTAATTGGCTGAAGATCATGATTGTGCTTTTGGTTTTACAAGCAAGTGAAATGTCCATTTGATGGAAATGTGAAACTATTAAAACCTGGTTGTTTTGTTGCTGAATGAAACTTTATTTGTGATGTTTATTTTTCTTAGGCTGTGTTACGTCTAGAAGATGTTCCATTTAAGACAGGTCAGTTCACGTAAAAGCTGTTCAAGTTTTTTAAATTACTGGAGGATAAAATGCTGTGTGTATGCAATTGTTGAAAGATGTGCTTTCTGAGATCTCAGTGGGCTCACTTTTTGCCATGATTTTTTAATATTATGCTTAATTTTATATCATATGTATGCATAATTTTTCTTGACAGCTGTGAAACTGATGACAGATTGGAAATTGCGACAAGAATGGGACAAAACTGCATCAGTTGTGGATGTTTTGGACAGAATAGGAAACTTCAAAGTGGTTTACAAGTAAGAATATCAAGGCCAGTTATCAGATGTTAAAAAAAACCTAGGTATTACTACAGAAGGTTTTTTTTGTAGACTTTTAGACTAAGGCATTACCAAATTTTAGAATGAAATTACAACAATGAAGCAACGTTGTTGGGATGCCTTTTGCCTCAATACTTTCAAAGTATTATTCATATATATTCATGTACATACACAAACCCTTTCAGGCAGCTGCTATGTAGGCTGATGATGTCTGCAGCTGAGAGATTGTCTAAAAAACTGAATATTTTGCTGAGAAGCAAAGCTTTGAGGGCAATTGTGAAATTTTGAGAAGAAACTTTCAGCCAAGGATGTTACCTGCTGACATACCATGTAACAGGAAGGAGGTTCATTTATTTTCCAACCCTCCCATTAACTTTTATATTTGGTGTTCACAGTAAACTTTGTTGTCTCTTTGGTACTTTCTGGAGCATCATTTGAGATCAGCTTTCTTATATCACTTTCACTGAACTCTTCAAAATGAGTTCATTTTTCTTCCATGTAAAGTAATAAAGATGAAAAAATGAAACTCTCAAGCAGGTTATTATCCTCTTCTTTGTTTTGTTTTGACAGAAATAATCAGAGAACAAATATCATGTAAATGGGGGTAATTGTGTGTTAACGGTTGGTTGATTTTGCACTACATGATGTAAAGTAGCAGACAGAATCAAATGAAAATTTTAAGTGATATATCCCCCCCCCCCCCCAAAGCATAGTCAAATTAAACATCTTTCATGTAATTAAAAATCATTCTGTTTCCTGATCAATGTATTTTTTGTAACAATACAGCCGTCTGAAGATGCCTCTGTTTTGTACCAAGAGAGATGTTGTACTGGCATCACTGGAGCGTTATGATTCAGACCAGCATTGCTATATTCTAGCATTGCGTAGCACAGAACACCCTCTCATGAAAGATTCAGTCAAGTCAAACTTTGTGAGGTAAAAAAAGTCCCGTTTTCTTATTTTGGTAATCATAAGGTGCTCATGCTAGATGCTTTTACCTTGTTGCATTCAGGCAATTTTTGCCAAAGAAAAATTTGAATTGAACCAATCATGATTGGGCAAACTCTGTAACCTCCAACTTCATATGAGTCAGAGAACCATGTCATGTCACACTCTTAAGAGACCTTTGTGATCCTGCAGATATGATTAGATCCTGACACTCTTTAGATAATCAGCATCTGCCTTAAGCTTAAAAGTGAGTGGTAGTCAATGAAACCCACATTTCTTCCACTTGCTAACACTCAAAATATTAGCTTTGAAACTGTTAACAGTGGTCAATTTACGTTATAAACTCAGTTAATAATACCAAATTACCTTGTTACACTCTTGCACTGAAGCAGCACCACAGTTTCTTTATAAACGTACTCCCTTTAAAACTAACTTTGAAGTATTTCTCTTCATTATTTAGGGCTGAGACCATCCTGTCAGGCACAATAATCCGTCCAGTGGATGATGGTTCAACATCTTCTACTGTCACTGTCATTACACAGATGAAACTCATGGGTTCAGCTCCTCAATTCATCAAGAACAGTTATTTGGCCTGTAGCCCTGTGAAACGAATGCAGCTGATGAGGAAGTTTTATCTGAAATGCCAAACTGATGCAGACTTGAATTTGAGTTTGAGTGGCAGTGAGAAAGACATCAAGATGAGTCCATTTATCAGCACTCGCAAGACCAAGTCATCCACGGGAAGTATTAATTTTGTCACAGATGACTAATTATACTTACTAGATCGAAATTTGAAATTAATGGCAAGCTAGGCCAGGTATTTGTAGTTATATTTATTTTCTTTGCAGTATATTTTAATGTTACTGTGGTATCTTACTGTGAGAACAACTAGTTTCAATTGGGATGTAAATGTATTGTTACGTTTTAAAGTAAAGTTAAAATTAAGTTAGTAATTAGGTTTAATTTTTAATTAATAACAGTCCAACTAATCAAGTGGATGATTGGTCAACTGTATCGTAGAAAGAAGGATAAAAGTCCCCAAACGTAGTTGTATAAATTATTCTCATTGATGATCAGGCTTCAGGAATATTTGAATACTTATTAAGTGATGAATATTTTGAGAGTATTTGACATGTACTCTGGGTTGGAGCTACAGTACAAGAAATGTTGATTAATGGATGACTATGTGTTTTTTTTTCTTATGTGGACTTAGATCACATAGTATGTGAAGTCTAGTCATTTTATTTGCTTGCTTTCCCTTTTTTTGGTACCTCATTACATAACTTGTTCGAAACTTTTTTTGCAGTTATGTTGCAGTGTACTATCTTGCTTTGTTGTGATATTTTTTTCTTCTTCAGAGTTCAGAAGTCAGTACTGATATTGATATTGATATTGAGGGTCAGAGTATCTGTGTCATTAATTCCTATTGACTAATCTTACCGTGGCGGTAGTAAATAGTGTAGAATATTTTTAAGGGGAAAAAATCATCATTTTGTGATGTACAGGCAGCTTCAAGGTAGAACCTTTCAAACTTGGTGTTTTCTTTGGTAACTACAAACCTTTTTAGGTCTTAGTTTTCGTGCGGTTAGGGGTCAAGCGATTTAATCGGAAATCCTCAATAAAGATTTTATTTGTAAGCTATTCCCTTTCGAGTCACTTTACATCTCTTCCGTTTTCGGAGATAACACGGGGAATCAAGAATTAACCGAACTCATGTCGCGAAATTTCGTCACGTGATCACCACGTGCGACCAAATACTTCGATCCAAAAATAATTGGTCATTCTGTCTCGTGGTCTCGATTACCAAATGCGGTTCGGGAATTGAGCTTATGCTGTTCCTTCCTTTTAACGATCGAAGATCAGACTTGAGAAAAAAAGCAAATTTCGAGCTTAATAGTGCCTTGGCTTTATTCTCACCTTGAATTTTTCACATGTTCCAAAAGTTTCGGCATTACTGCCAAATCTGGTACTCCATAGAAATCTGGAGTGTCCACGATGAAAAGTAAACAGGTGTATATGACATGCACACATATATGGCGATATTTCCCAGCCAGAAGTCAAAGTTTAACTTTCCTTCGCAAGATGTTGTACATTTCACAGTTAACTAATTCTGAGAGTGTCAGATTGTAAACTTTAAATAAAAAATCATCGAATGATCAATTCGTTTAACTTGGTTAAGATTAACCATTTACTTATAATGGCGTTGGTTTGACGAAGAGTTATGAATCTCTAACTCCCAGAGGTAATTTACATGTAACTTCTCATTTTGATATCCACACATTGTATATCAAACAGGTTTACGTTGTTAACGTTAACGTTGTTTTCTTGATCTAACACCAAATTCTCGTAACTAATACACGAGGAAATGTATGACAGCTAGAGGGGGGATGTAACAGTCAGGTGTTGGGAGTTGAAGGGTTAAATGTCTTTTGAATTGTTACTTGCGGTGGAACTTTGACCCTATGAAATCACTTGACACGTTTAGGCCAATCTCCACAAGTTTTTCTTTTAAACGAAGTAGGTGCGAAATCGAAATTGATCCCAACTTGCGATTTCCGTGTTGTGGTGCGTCTTGTGATGAAAATTGTTTTGTATTAGAAAGGCAGTCCGAGAGACACTTGGTCTCGTCCTAAACTGTCCAAAGTGTTTTAAATCTTGTTGAATAGGAACCTGTTTTTTACGCAGCATTTGCAGTCTTCCTTCCAAAATCATTGTAGATAATATTTATCCTTATAAGCAATCTCTGCGATGTGACGATTCCAGCAATTTATGGCCTTTATAATATACTATTTAGTCTAATTAAAGTTTTCTTAAAGGTTACAGAGTTGACATTTTTGCTCGTTTACTGACGATGTCTAGATTTGTTAAACTTAAAACTGTACATTAGATTTAGCTATCTGATTCACCTTTCTATCTTGTTATACTTGACTTTTATTCGCTCTTATTATAAGCTCAACTGCTGGGATAAAATAAAACAATCTACTTACTTTGAGGGTTGTTTATTAAAATACGAAAGGAGATTTTAAAAACCTTATATTTTTGTTTTTCGTCACGTGCGATGTGTAATGCGTGGCAGGTGTTAAGGTGAGATGTGAAAACTGTAATAAAGTTTCGAGACGTACACCGTTCCATTCTCAAAATTGATGAATGGATTTAAGAAGGAGCACATTGGAACAAGTTTGAATTAACCAATCAGTGGCATTTTGAAATAACTCAGCATGTTGCTTTTCATCCTACGACTTCCAAGACTGCACCACAAACTTGTTCCCGGCTCTATGTGATTATTGACCCGACCAACAAAAAGGCCAGCGCGTGGAAATCTTTGGAAGAATGTTTGTGACTCTGGGTTTGTGACCCTCCATTTTCGCTTGTCCCTCTAGTCTTATTGCCTAGAACAGGCAATCACAAATCAGAACTTCTTCTACTAAGCCTTGGCCTAGGAGCGCGTGACACAACTGTGGCCTCAGTCTTGTTTTGACTGCACCTGTATAAGCTGGAACAGGCAGAAATGAAAAGAAAGGTCAAATGCTCACGATTAAGACCCCAACGAAGATTTACTCGAAGTGACAAAAAGCCTACCTCCCATCTTTCTCCACATCTTCCCCTTGTGTGAAGTTTCATCCGTAAAAAGCCAGAATTCGATGAGCAGAGGATTTTTTTCAAGGTCTTGCGTTGCTTTATTTCAAATGAACAACCGCAAGACTAACATAAACGGAGTGTCTTAGTTTATAAAAGAAGGCGCTATGGAAATATTTTAGCATCCATAAGATTGATGGCTCTCGGGGTTACTCTAATCGATCGGAAACCCGCCCAACGGATATGAGTCCGAAACATGTAAACAAAACATCAAGTCCACGAGAGCATTCAAGTTGAACAATTCAAATGGCTGTTCAAGGGTAACTTATGCAGAGGAGCAGCGTACACGTGGCTGTTGTAGACTTTTTTCACCAGTCATTAAAAACGAAGTTCTTTTGTCACGTGTGACTTGAACTTTTTCGGCATGTTGCCTTCGAATGCGCGCATGGGCTCATGATAACCACATCAAAGTGCCGTGATTATTTTTAATAATCATCGCGGCTTGTATGTGTTGCACTTTTCGTAAAGTTTCTCAAAAAGAATACGACAACTAGTCATCTGTCTATACAACGCACTATGATAAACATCTTAATCATGCCTAAGCCCCGACAGGTTCGAGCTTAATATCTCATAAACAATCTTAATCTGTGAGGCATATCATTTTTATCACAAAGAGAAACAAGCACATTCCATCCCAGAATTCCGAGGAGGACGCGCATCACGCAAAGAGGTAGTGTCGCTGTCTTCTGCCTGGTGTTCGCGAAAGCATCACTTTCTTCGAGCCTGGGCAAGGTAGGATGATAAAATTCTCAATTTGAGGGATAAAATGCAAGCGATTTTGTATTTCAAGAGAGGTATTCAGTGAAAACCGAAATCAAAATAGTTTGTATTCGCGTGAGGGTGGTTCGTATTTTAACTTCTACCTCGCGTGCGCGCGAAGTTGATTTCCTGCAATGTACATTTTGGACAAAAAGGTAAATATAAAGAGGAGGTACATACTTCAGGCTGGTAAATATTTGAGCTGACTATAGGCTGCGTTTAGAAATCTCAGCGGGTAAAGAAGTGGAGTTTCCAAAACCACATAATGAATGAAGCGGAAAGAGTCCATAAACAACATATCAGGGAATTCTTGGTTCCAAAACATTAGTTATTGTTCAACGTGTGACATTTAAATGGTTCTTAATTGTAACGTAATAACTTTGCGGAATGATTTGGGGAATTTAGTCGAAATTTAGCTTGTAAATGCTGGATAGTGTCGATAATATGATGATATTTTGAAAGATGATTTAAGGACATGAATTCAAAGTGCCTCGATCACGAACGTTCTTTGTAGTTGATCATTTGACCATGTCTGCTCTTATATAAGTGTAAACGCCCATGATTCAGAAAACACGCCAATTGAACAACTACAAAGTCCCATTTTCTTTTGAAAACTAATAATAGCGCTTTCTGAAGCAAACGAATTATCTTAACACGTTTGTCTCGCTTCTGAATTTCTGAGAGGTCAATAAGGTTAAACTGAATTTTTACTTGCATTCTGTTCGTAAATATCAATTTCGCTATTCAGTTAGAACTTGTATATTTGGGCTTTAATGAATTTTTAGTCTGAAATAAAAATGTTGATCTCCTGTGACATGAGAAGATTAAAGATTTTCAGCTTAAATTAATCTAGCATATCAAAATGGTCTGACTGTAGGACTGTTCTGATTTCTAGCACTCTCTACATGCCTAGCGTCATATAATTCCGATAATATTCAGATATTAACGCGCTTGATTGGAGACCATTATTGTTTTGTTTGAGAAACTTTTTACGGTCTTCAGAAAACGAAGAACAAAGAGATCTGATTAAAAATTAAAAGAACTGGTACTTATAAAATAAAGTTGTATTCTAAGGTGCACCTTCTGTAGCTTATTGGCCTCCTGGGAATAAACTGGACCCCGATTTTAAAATTTCACGAGAAAGTTCCTGGGAGTTAATTATCACAGACATTAATGGAAATTTGGATTCATTTTTTTTCCTGATAATTAGTTTTCAGAAATTGATTTTTTCCCATCACAAGATCTTGTTGTCAGCAAGGTCATACCGGCGTGTTTATGACTGTTTCGCATTTGTTATGACTTGTTTCCGGCGGAGGTTAAAGTCTGTGAGAATTTAATAAGGGGTAGGCTTGTTGTGTACAGTTCTAGAATAAATTGACTAAAAATGCACCATAACACAGGAAAACATGAGAAATTTGCGGTCCTCTAAAATAAATTAATGTTTTAAAAACAGTATTTCAAGTACGTCAGGTGACAGTGACGATCGAAAATCGGCGCCGAGCCAGAAAGTCAAATCGTTGTTAAAATTCAAATAATTACTGTTTGGGTCTGTGTTTATAGTGCATCGTTTTCAGGTTTGTTTCATTTTTGCTATAAATGTTCCACTGATAGTTGATTTGTTTTAAAGCTTTCTCGTTGGCTGGCTGATTACTATTGTCAAACTTATATTTTCTGATAGAAAGAGCCATGGGCACAGTCGTAGAAACATCGTACACGGTGGAAACCATTCCAGGTGAGTTCTCTCCTCAACTGAATATTTTGCGGTCAGAGTAACTCTTTAATGAGCCAGATTCGTCGTTCATCGTAATCTTCAGCCGTTTTTGTGTTTTGATATTCCTTTTCAAATTTTTATGTTTTGTCAGTGTAATATTGTAGTATTAATCAAAATATATATTCCATCACTCTTTTACACTGAAAACCACCAGAGTACATTACCATGCTGAAGTTAGTGATTATGTTTTGCGATATCTCCTAAATCTATTATCGGCAAGTCGATTCAAACACGACAAACTTGTTCCTTCTTTGAAAATAACGCCTCATTGAAACGAAAGACCAGGCATTTCGTGGAACAAACAGAGAAATCATTTACCGTGATACCGTTGAAAGAACAACAATTCCCCATTTTAACAGCATCATGCTGTTCATATTTTTTCAAGAGTTCATTTAATCCACTTAGAGAAGTTAGGAAGGTCTTAGTAACAAAATAAATGTTAAATTTAGAATTTTGTTTAGAGGGATTAAAAATTGCATCGAGAGGTACGAGCTGTGGTAATTCGAATGGCAATGGTTTAAAACATGCAACTTTCGCTCCTTATTTAAAGTTTATAACGTTGGAATTTTGCCACATTAAAAAGTTAACATATACTTTCTTGGCAACAGAGCAAAAATTGAAACTCATATCATGATGACTCAAAATTGTCACGTATTTTTAGCCCTTGTCTTTTAGGTTTGATTCGAGTTGCAAAATTGCAGCAAACAATTGGATTCTTCATATCTTGTCTTTCAAATGAAACCAACAGTTTCTGTTTGCCTCTGGAAAAAACAAAAGGGAAATATAATCTTGTAGAGTTTTTTGTAATTCAGATGCAAATTTTCTGCACCAGTGCAAGTATATTGACATACAATGAAATCATTATACCAATTAGTAAACATGACTCGAGTTTATTTATTCAGAAATGAATGCTTTTATTTTTTTTAACTATCTTTAAAGCGTGATATGGGGCTCAGTTATTTGTAGGATCATCAAAAATAAACATTTTTGTGTCTTTGTGGCTAAAACACCAGAACACCCTAATGGAGTATTTTAATTAATTTGAACGACTCTTGTTCCGCTGTTTATTCTTCTCTCTCCTTCTTTCTTTAATTTCTTGCTCAATGTTTTCAGGAGGTGAGCCTCTTGGAGTGGAAAATGGAGCTATAGCGGATAACTGTCTCACTGCTTCCACATTCTCAGGCCACGCGCCTCCACATTTAGCCCGTTTAAACGGGCCTTCGGCCTGGTGCGCTGGAAAAGCAACCGACTGCTATTTGCAAGTAAGAATCTGTAAAAATATTGTTTTCAGTCTGCCACACATGAGTCTCTCAGAAAATTTGACCAATCTAGGGAAAATACTGGTGTTCTCTTGTGAGAGGTTTAAGAAAATTTTTAGACCTTACCGAGATTGAAACCTCTGACGTCAAAAGATGTATATGTTTCTTAGGGCGAAATATCACCGTTTTGTTATCTGTGTTAACCTTGACAAACTTGAGGAATTGTTGACAATTGAGTGGTTTTCAAGACGAAGAGCGCAATTTTTACTTCATCACCTAACTTCGAAGATTCAACTTATTATGGAACAAGAGAATGAAAAGTTTATTTGTAATTAAATTATTACCAAAATGATAACAAATAAATGTTCCTACATAGCTAACATCCTGGGGGAGGAGGTCTTTTCCACGAGCCTTCACTTCCTTGGGCTGTCTGTGTTTCTCTCGGTCTCTCAATATTTTAATTGTTTGAAACTCATCTGTTTATAAATTTATCTCTCTATTTCCTTGAATTAGGTTGACCTTGGAAGCCTTCATTTGCTGTGTGGTGTAGCAACACAGGGAAATCCAGGTGGAAACAGAGATTACGTCAAACGATATAAACTCCTCTCCTCCTCAGACGGCGAGAGCTGGGATACGTATGAGGAGAATGGAAACGATGTAAGTTCTTTCTCTGTTTTCTTTCACTTTCTTTGTAAAAGTCAATCTTAAAGTTGAAGAGCGTTGGGTGACATTATAATGGGTGGTCATTTTCTCGACACTGACAATAATTGACCGTGAACAGCGTTTGGAAAAAACCGTGACCTTTTGTTAATGATTTATTTTAAACAAGGTATTCTAAATGACGGTTTGAAACCATTTCTTGGATCTTTCTTGCTATGACAAGAGATTTCCTTGAAGGTGAAAATTCAGTAAGAGGAAAAGTTTGTCTAAGAACAATAGACACAACTGATCCGCTTGATAATTCCGTGTTTGAAAGCCAACAGCAAGCGCATGGCTAATTTGCATACTGGGACTTTTCATCGCCCGAATTGTTGTCTGTGATTTAATCCTATTGTTCATTCACAGAATTGAATTGCATGAGAACAACCAAGCCACGCCGTCAGTTGAATTTATAATCAAAGCAGGTCATTGATCAGGGTTTAACTTTGTGTCGTTCGTTTTTAAAGACCATCGACGGAAACTCCAATAACTGGGGCATAAACAAGAAGGAATTGGACAAAGAGATCATCACTCGATACGTGAGGTTTTGCCCAGTCGACTGGTATTGCTGGCCATGCATGAGAGTTGAATTGTATGGAGCTGCACTCAACATAGGGGGTGAGATCTACATCGTGGTTCCCTCAGTTACTCATGATTGCACTCAGTAACTAAATTATAAGCAGTTTTATAGGGAGAAAGAACGGAAACATCGTAAAGAATTAATTATAATAAGCCTAACCCTGTAAAGTTCGTACACAGCAAATCGGCGCGAAATGCGTTTCCTATCGGACGGATTAGGAGTAAATAAGTTTCCCTTTGATGGTTCAACGACTTGACTTATTAGTGTCTAGTTCTGTTCGGACTCAAACGTTACAACAAACTACTTCTTGCCGACGATTGCAGATCAGGGTGAATTGAGGGTGAATTTTAAAATCAGAGTTAGAAAATGCACTATATTCAAATAAACAGAATGTTGCAAATAGAGTACGATTTCAAACAATTTACAATTGGGCGGGTTAAAAGGAAGAAAATAGAAGCGGTTTCACGAACAAGTATTGTTATGGGTTAGATTCGGCAAGCTTGGTCTTTTATGATGGAATCATTTGTTTACATCAAATTTTTTTGTATTTTTAATCACCCGCTGTGATTGCTCGGTAAGTGTTCGGCTTGAAATGCTTAATAAAAGCTGGGATTTAAAGCTTAGCTCCATGTTTACATTTGGATACAGGTAGTTTTATCTGAGGAGATGAAAAATGATAGAGAAAATGTCCCTGTCGCGGTGATGATCTACAAAATAATTGAAAAGAAAAATACTCTCCAGAAACGTTTTATTGATAAATTTACATGTTCCTCTTTTCGATAAGCTTACAAAGAACATCACATTTGTAGATTGTAGTCCTTTCAACAAGCTCTTTCTCAAACAAAAAACTTGGTCACAAACTGAATGATCTGTTTGATAAACTATTAGCACGTGCTTGTAATGTGATCCAGGTCAAAAAGAAAGTAGCTGCACGTAGCACTGGAGGAAACAAATATTCAACTGTTTCTCGGCGTCAAAACAAGTGATAATAAGAGATCATTGTTATGTTGTGTTCGACTGTCGGGTCTTTACTTATATTGTCCATAGGTTAAATTAATTTTTATGTTGCCAGGCAGTTCTTAGAAAAAATGTAATATTTACGCTCCGAACGGCTAGCAATGAAAATATTAACTATGCACCTTTGCGGAATCGAAGAAAAGTAACTCCCACACTTGTATTGTGAGTCCTGTATAATTAGTATTTTATAGGATCGGTCACAATATTTCCTTCTACGGCCATCTCACTGCCACCTGTTTTGACAATAACAAGGCGCGGTTACTTAGCAGATAATTTTTCTATTCACAAAGTTCGACTTTCTTGATCCTTCTGGGGAAAATTTCTAGATCGAAATATTCATATTCTTAGCATTTGAACATTTAGTTCAATTTGGGTGAGTACATCTTTTAGGTGGAGAGTTTCTCCTTGTCTTTTATATGATCAGATTTTGAAAACGGTTCGAGTCTTTTGAAAATTGCTTTTCAAAAAATTCACTTTCGAAAAGCATATACGAGGTATACAAAGCTTCTGTTCTTGATTTTGAGTGGTGAGTCACATCATTTGTAAGAGCTACTACAGTTTAAATATTTTCGGTATAACTTGACTTCATTGTAATTGTAACCAAGAGACTTGAAGAGTGTATGACTGAATTGACAGATTCATATCGAATTTACCCATTCTGAGGCAACATTTTCATGTTAAACGAGTGATATATCGCTAAATTTTGAAGGTGCCGATTTTGTTTCGTTTTTTTTTTTTTCAGCAAATTTTCAGTTTATTCGTGTGAGAGCTCAAACTGATTTTTCTTTTAGTAACCTCAGTCATTCCCGATGTTTTGTATTTATATAGTTGAGGTAAACACATTTCTATTAATTTATTTCTTTCTTTCCCAGACGGATTTCAAACAACTCAGTCCGATGATGATGGAAGTTTTGTTGTAGGTAAGCGAGGGATTTTTACTGAATGATTTGCAAGGAAATAAGATTGTAATCCCATTCGATTTGAATATTATTGTTTTGACTACTCAGATCAATAAAAAATTTCGCTCAGTTACTGTGTATCGTAGTTCGAATGGCTTTAAGCGACAAATATGTCTAAAATTTGCATTTCGATATGATTATTATCGGAACAAAGATCACAATATTTCGTTGCTATGGATGTTATATTTGTTCGTCTTAGACATGAAACGCCCCTTGATGAATCTCAATTCATTCAGGCTCCAATACTTTCTTTTGGGTACCCGACGCCAGTCTTCAAACTGTGAGGGGGTCACAGAGGAGGTCTTTCGACTTAAACTTCCCGGCCAGACAAAATTAAAACTTTAGCGAAACGTAGCTCTAATCTATAGCACCTTCATGTACAAAGAATACATCTTTTTACATGATTCGGAGCTTTGCGAGCATTCGAGATAGCCTTTCAACGTTTAGTTTCCCGCCATTTGGTGGCGACAGGTGATTTGTTTCGCGCGTCTTGCGCTCATTGGTTATCACTCATGCAAATCACTTTATTTCACAGAGAAAGTTTTGTATACAACTGTTGAGACACGTGTTGAGGAGAATGGCGAGCCAGACGACGACTCGTTGAAGGAACAAGAGAAACAGATAATCCGAGAGGCAAAGGAAAGGCAGCGAATTGAAGAAGATCAACAGAACAGATTGGAAGAAATTCAACTGATTATTGAGCAAGAAGAAGTTAAGAGAAAGCCATCCAGCGGAGATATGGATGAGAAAGAACGAAGGGAAGCTGAGGCGCGAATCCAGTTGGTTCTCAATGAAGAAAGAGCATTAGAGCGGCGAGAAAAACCTGATGGACAAGATGTACCACCACAAATGAATAACATTGAGGAGGACAGAAACGAACGGGTAACAAAAGAATACAGCAGAATCGATGAAGAGCATCGAAAACGAATGGAAGCGCTTAGTGCGATACTGAATGAAGACGAAGAACGGAGGAAGAGAGAGAGAGAGGAAAGACGGTTAGCTGAAGAGGAGGCGAGGAAAAAGAGAGACGAAGAGAGACGAAAACAGGAAGAAGAAATCAGGCGAAAGCGTGAAGAAGAAAGAGTTAAGTGGGAAGAGGAACATCGAAAATGGGAAGAGGAGAGAAAAAAACGAGATAAAGAATTGGAAGCTGTGTTAGAGGAAGGAAGGAGAAGACGAGCTGAAGAGAAGCGGAAACGAGAAGAGGAATTGAAAAATGCGAGAGAGGAGGAGAGAAAGAAACGGGAGGAAGAAAGGAAAAAACGTCTGGATGAAGAGATGAAGAAGCTGGAAGAACAAAGAAAAGAAAGGCAAGCAAAATGGAATAGCAGGACTGAAGTTTTCATTCCTGAGAAGAAGGACGCCGTAGACAATAAAAATCGACAAGATGAGAAAAAAAAGATAGAGGAAGGATGGATCAAAAGGGTTGAAACCCCACGCAAAGTTGAGGAAGAAATGAAACGATTCAGAGACGAAGAACGAAAACGCCTTGAAGAGGAAAGAAAAAAGTTGTTGGAGAAGGAAATTGAAGAGGTAGAAGCAGACAAAGAATTTAAATCGGAGATTAGAGTTTTAAGGCAAGAGAGACCAGAAACCGTAACCAAAGTGTCTGTGGCAACCATTCAGTTAGTCCCTGGAGGGGACCCCGAGGAGGAAAAGCGAAGGATTGAGTGGAGAATGCAGAAAATTGAACAGGATCGCTTGCTCAGAGAGGAAGAAGCTAAGAAAAGACAAGAAGAAGCTGAAAGGAAGAGGAAAGAAGACGAAGAACGGGCAAGACAAGAGGAAGAAAGCAGACAGAGACAACAGGAAGAAGAGAAAGAGAGGCGTCGGGAGGAATTAAGGTTACAGAAAGAGGCCGAAGAGAGACAGAAGAGAGAAGAAGTGGAACATAAGCATCGAGAAGAAGAAGAACGTCGACTCAAAGCGCTCGAGGAAAGAAGGAAACGATTAGAAGAGGAAAGGAAGAAACGAGAGGAGGAAGAACGAATCTGGAAACGCGAACTGGAAGAAAGAAAGCAACGTGAAGATGAAGAAAGGCGTAAACAGTTGGAGAGCAAGAAGCTTAAGCGCCGTAGTATTGAGCGAAAGAAATTTGAAGAGGAAGAAAAGAAGAAGCTCGATGACATTGAACGGAAGCGGATTGAGGAAGAAGAAAGAGAGCGAGCAGAAGAGGAACGAAGGCGACGTGAAGAGAGGGAAAGGTGGAAACTGAAGCAAATGGAACGAAGAAGGAGTGGAGAGATTTACCGACAAAAAAGTGAAGAAGACATACGAAGAAGAGAAGAGAGGTCTTCAATTAAAGACAGGGAAAGGAAAAAGAGAGACAGCAGAAGTTTTGAAACCAAATGGATGTTTATAAATGGCGAGAGAACAGAAGTACCAGGTAAACCTATTGTTACCACTGTCAAGGACCCATAACAATCTCGGGACAGTGGTACTTTAGCTAACAATACTCCTCCCTTTTTGGTACTCCTCTATCTAAGCTTAGTGATATCTGTCTTACATGGGAGCGATATTTAAACTTGTCGTTGGAGGGTTTAAGGTTGGAGGGGTGTGGAGAAAAGAAGCGATTGGTCAGCTCTCCTTATTCCTAAGTACGACCAATTTCTAAATAGCGAAATTATTTATATTATATTATTTATAAAAATTATTCACAAATGTGTTGAAAAAATCAACACTAAATTCTTTACTGAAGACTTGAAAAACGGGAATCGATGGTCGAGAAGCCAACTCACAGCCAAAGCAATTTCTTATTATGAGCCTAGTTGACGATAAGGAATCTAATTTCATGTACTTGCGCCAATTGACGGTAACAGAACAATCCTTTGTTTTCAACAGTGAATGAATCATTCGTATCGACAACAAGTCTTCCAATTCAGAGCGAGCCTCCTGATGTTTTCGAAGATGAGTCGCCCAGCAGTAGATACAGTGTAACGGTCAACACCGTGTCTACGAAAACTATACAGAGGAGCCGCAGTTTTGATTACAAGGTAAATGGTAAATCTCCCCCCTTCCCCCCTCCCAGACATGCGATCTTTCGTCGTAGCCATCAGATCATTTCTCTCATGGAAACAAGCGAACCAGCAAAGCAATGTGGTGGGAATGGAACGGACATTATAGTACAGTAGTTTATTAAATATATGAATTTTGATCGGGAGGTGTTTTAGGGGAAGAAGGAGCGGTATGCAGGGAGGGTCGGTAAGGATGCGCGTTTCATTATCTTCTTGACGTTTTCATAAACTAAGAATCTTAAAGTGGGTGATATGTTGGTGTGAATAAGGGACATTCTAACAGCACACTCGTTTCCTATTTGTTCTTCATTCTGTGTTGTTGAAGGATTCAAGACAAGTCCCCATCATCCGCAGCAGTAACATGTACGCATCTGAGAGACATATAAGAACTGTTTCTCAGTTGTCTTTAAAAGAAGAGGTAGTGCCATACAGATCTCAGCCTCACTGCGATCACCTTCTGCCCACAGATCCTTCCGTTCAGGAAGCAGTAGGTACGTTATAAACTTATTTCATCGTCGTCTAAGGGGCGTCAATAATTCTAACCCTTCTTTCGTCGTAATGGTATTGTACAACTAATTTTATTGGTTAGTGTTGCAAGACTTTTGGTATTTGAAAATCTTGTACCACGTTTAAGGGCGTTTTGAGAATTCTTGTAGCCAGCTGGAAATCACTTATTTAGCCGTTCCATCCCATTATTGTATTATATTAGTATTCAAGAAAGTATTTCATTAGATTTCTTACTGACTCACCCATGGTAAGCATGAATCATTGTCTCTTTGGTGAAGTCTGAATACCAAATAAATATATAAAAATTCTGACTCATGTCGTGTTATTACTTTCAGAGATGAGCTTTTTCGACAAATATGAAAAAAATGAGGGTACGTTGAGACCATTTCCCAGCTGGTACGGAGGGCTGGACATGGGAAGTTTGCCTCATCTTTATTCACCCACAAATCCCATCGAAGACTCTGACATAGATCGACTGCTGAGCATAGAGAACGAGGGCTTGAAATCTTGGAAGCGTGTGAAAAAATCTGGAGAGTTGGAGGTCTATTCACGCAAAGGGCTGGAGCGAGGCAGTCCGCCTGTTACTAAGGTAACCGTCATAATTGTAACATTTTGAGTATCGCTAGATGTTAATCTCGTAGGTATTCCTGGGTTCATAAAACTTCATTAAGTTTTAGAGTTTGGTTCTGTTACAGTAATTAATGGATAAATAGAGGCTGATAAAAATCATTCAGGTTTGAGCTTTTTGTTAATGACAATGAACGTCATAATGATTTATTTCTTTTAATTTTACAGGCAGTGATGGTCTTAAAGGATATTCCGTACAGAGACGGTGTGTAACGTGTTACAAACACTTTTATTATATAAGTTGTTGTGTTCGACAAGGATTACTAGTCCTGAGAAAGGCCGAAACTGCATACGTGAAAAATTACGTTAAATTTTATGTGTTTGATATCGCCAATCAGCTGCTGACACGTCACTCGCATTTCACCCACTCTGTCAGGTTGATGAATGAATAGAAAAGCTTTCTCTATTCTCAATTCAAGGTCGTCTGTCGAGTTTTCTTGTCAGTAAGGGCCTATAGTGTCTTGTAGATAAAGAATTTCTCCTCTCGTGTTCAACTCGAAGAGAAATTCAATATTTGCGCACGCCCATGTGATTTTCGCTCTGTATTCACTTTTCTCGAACAGAGGACTTGAGAATCCTCTGAAGTTGGACGCATTTATTGATTATACTAGCGAGAACAATCCTGTTGAAAATACTATCAATTTTTTTTCTGGAGTTTGGAGTTTGAGCATCCATTGCTAACTGTTACTCAATCATTTCCTTTTAGCCATTGACTTAGTTTCTGACTGGGATGAACGGACTAAGTGGGACAAAACATTTGACGGCGTCTCATTTCTGGATCAGATGGCGGACTTTAAGGTCTTGAAATGGTGAGTTTAAGAGTCTAATGGGAGGTAAATTCAATCTGCTGAACTGAAAAAAAAATGGAAAGGGGGTATTAATATTCAGATGATGTCTTTTTTTTGCTTTGTTATGTTCTCACCACCCTTGTTTATTCATAGCTATCAGAAGAAGAAACATCGATGTGTAGTGTTGGCCACCTTAGATCGAGAAGATGAAGAACCGTACCACGCATGCGCTTGGAAAGGAGGCACCCATCCGAGTGTTCCTGGGGAGGATAACAAGCTCAATGTATTGAGGTAATGGTACTGGTAATTTGTTAATTTGCTCAAGAATTCCGTTCTTATATTTAGAAGATGAATAATTCATTGATTGGTTGAAGTTTTTTAATAAGAAGCACTTGCCATTTTGTTTCCATCGCTAATAACAAGTTTCCCCGCCTTGAATCTACAGGAGCTTATATTGATAATACTTGCAGATTCTGTTTTCCATTGCAAAGAATAGTTAGGTATGGGCTAGTAAGTTACGTTCCCAAACCACCTGTTTTTGACACATCCATTCGATTGTGTTCCCTCTTTAGACTGGAGACAGGTATCTGTGGGGCCATTATCCGCCCTTATCACGATGCTACCAGATCCTCGAAAATCACAATAATCACACAGGTACGAGGCTCTATTCCCAGTCCTCTGAAGAGCACGTTCTTGACGGGTAACCCAAGCAAGTGGCTGATTTGGCTCAAAAAACATTACGACACACGAGCTAAGGACATCGTGGAGAAAGAGAACGAAGATGATTCCAACAAAGACGAAGCCTCTTCTGTTTCATCCAGGTCGGAAAAACAGGATTAACGAGTATTGGGGAAGTTTCTTAAAATCTTGCTCCTTTAATGATATTCTCTATCGATTACTTATTAAGAGGAAATTTTTTAGAACATTGTAATCTAGCTGTTTATTTTTTACAATTTTAAGGTAATGCTTGGCAAAATTAAAAACAAAAAACAAAAAAAAACAGTCTTGGCTCGCAGCAGTTGAAAACTCGTGTGTAATCAAAACCGCATTGTTATAGAGGTAGTTTTTAAACATTTCCATATCTATTGTAATAGAAATCATTGTCTTTTCTTATTGTTTTTTTTCTGAAATTTTCTCTAAAAATTGACAGAAGTGATAGTACTATAAGCAGCGGTCAGCGGTAAGGTCAAATTAGGTGTACGTATGCAAGGTTCAATTACGTATTAAGGAATGATCACGTGCGTTCCACGACCCGAAGTTTCCGTCCCGTTCAGTTTTGGAACATACTAAATGCGAATAGCAGAGGTGCCAATTTTAAAACGAGTAAATTAAAAAGGGTTAGCTTGGCTGATAAAGGAAAAAAAGAAAAGATAGTATTTTAAAGAGTTATTACAATCTGAATGAATCTCTAAGGATCTACTTCAACTGTCACAAACTCAGCCTTATTATCAAAATGTAACTTTTGCACACATTAGATTAGCTCTTGGCTTTGATAACTTGAATCCTTTCTAACGCTGTGGCTCTTCATAGGACACCAGAAATATGTTACATAAATTAACACCTACACCTCGCATCATATTTGTATCTTAGATTAGTGACAAGTATCTAAATTCTCCTTACAGCATCATCCCTGAATCACACACTAAGGTCATGAGAATAATGAAAATAATCAACAACCACAGAAGTTCTGAATCGTTAAGCTAATTCTCCTCGTCAGCACCTTAGGAAATGTATAGAGAACAGTATGGAGAATATGCATACTGATGTTAGAGTGTAAAGGGTTACGAGCAGCTGTAGTTATTTGAAGTCGCCTAGTTTATCATGTTGTGGTAAATAAGAGTGTTGTGGAATCTTACATTGGTTGAAAATAATTGTCATTAAGATTATTGGATCGACATCGGTGTCTGAACAACTGCACACCTACCCTCCCCTAACGGAACATTAACCCCAACTTGATGTCAGCTGCAGTTGACTGTTGTTGGGTGTGGGGAGGGGTAAGCACGCAGTTGCTCAGATATTGACATTGATCCAGATTATTCACAGGTAATTGATTAAGGTGTAATGTGTATTTAATGAGTAGTATTTTTTACATGAGAAATGAAAATATCTGAGCTGTTAATCACAAGTGGTGCGTACTTAACTCCTTGGGCTAGACTTTCATCAAAGAGTACGAAATCAAAGCTTTAATCTCGCAATCTTTTTCGTAACATTGCTACAATTAATTAATTATGCATTTTGCAGTTCTTGTGGAAGATGATTATTAAAGTGCCAGTCCACGCATTTTGTTTAGTTCATATCCAAGGTTCCCCTTGCTCAGTCAAATGCTTTACAATTTGACTTTATATGAGATGTGGAGGAATAGTTGATGAGCCATAATGAGTAGCAAAAGTTTTGGCACGCTCAGCTCAAATAGATGAACTTCATGAATTTTTTTATAAGTTTAAAGTATCTCCCCCGTATCAACGATGCCGGGTGTTACGAAATGGTCAGATACTTCAAGCAATATTATTTGGGGGGAGGGGGGGGGGAATTATTAGTGATTAATTACAAGATTTCTGTCAAGTATGTCGAGTGAAGGGTTGTCGACCGCCCAGTGAGGGGAAGGTGTGTCAACTACTTTTGTCACTGTGGGCCATGAAGGTCTTTTTCTTCAAATGCGACAAAAGATGACTTGGTTCAGGATCGGTCGTCACTGTCACATATACAGTGAAAGAGGTACAAAGATATACTGAAAATGCAAAGAATTTTTGGTGATAGGACTTTGATAAGTGGAAAAAAAACAATCTCATTTCAAGTTCGTGGTAAGCCCATCACTGACGTCGACTGATCCGATACAAAGGTAGGTGGGATAAGTCTGCGCTCGAGCCAACTGACCCATTTAGCCGAATTTTTTCCTGGTTTGTTTAACAAGAAGCAACTAGGAGTAATACTATTCCTCCCTGGATGGGATATTAGTCCATTCAGCTTACTCCTGGGCATTTCATTAGCTTTCCTTGACGGTTAGCCGTATCCATTCATACTCCTGGATGAAGGGACGCACCGCAAGAGAGAAATGTTTTACCCAAAAACACAACACATTGATCTGGCCATGTCTTGTACCCCCGTACCCGGGGTTCAGCGCGCTAAGCAACCACGCCTCCACATCGAACACAAAGCCGGCCGATGAACAACTGATCAATTCCACAGAAAACTCATCGTCAGGGATATCAGTTGGACTTATCAGAAATAATTTGTATTCTCTTTTCGCTAGATCGAATCTAACGAAAATGGGATAAAGAGCCGAAAAGAGAATATTCTGTATACGTGATCACTACATGCAATATCCGGTCTCCAGAAATAAGCAGGCTGTGATGATCTGTCAAACAATAGCAAATCTGTGCAATGCGTTAATATGTGCTTGCGTGGCTACTTTTTTCTCTTCTGTTTCGTAACTTAGGTTCTTTACTTCTGTTCGATTTAAGCTTTGATCGTTTTATCTAGTTGATCTCCTTAATAGTTTTATTCTTACTACAAGATTTGGACCACAATCTTCCTTCTTTTCGATCTACGTTTATCAATATACAGTTGATTTGGATATATGTTTACATTCTTCAAAAAAATGACTTCCTTCCACAGCTTGAAGATGATGTTTCCGCTCATCCGTGATCGGCATATTGTTTACAAAAGCTAAATAAAGACAAATCACATCAGAAGCCCACGTTTTCTCAGCAACCAAATATTAAAAAAAAAAGATACAAGTGTCATTGGGCAGTGCTGGATATCTTGATATGTTTTTACCCGATAGTTAGTAGCCCTTGAGTTTATGTATCAAATTTGTAATGTTGGTGCTAAGTTTCCAAGTAACGCTAACGGACATAAAATATTTTTATTATGTATATTTTTATTATGTATGTTTTATTATATATGTTTCCTCTGTAAAATTTTAACGGTTCCAATCAAATCGGCAGAAATCCGCACTATAAACTTACAAAAAAGAGAAAAAAAAAAACCTTAATGGGTAAATTTTTGAAATATATGTAATGTTTCCCGTTTCCCTGTTAAGGCCATGGATCATGTTCCGGGTTAGAAACGGTATGAAACTTCGTTTTTTTATCCAGCCGCTTAGCGTTTCAGCATCAGAAAGAACCCACGCAAATGGGCGAAATTAAGAATGACAATAAAACACGAGAATAGTAATTACTTCTAGAACAGTCATGTAACAGTACTAACAGTCCGTATAGGTTTAAAATTCCAGTTCACCTCTCATTACAAATATATATATATATATATTTTTTAAAGCACATTAGAGAATCGTAACACTAATCTCGCTTTTTCCCCTGAGGCAGATTTAATTATAGGATCAAAAAAAAAACTTTGGTTGACTTAAACAGCAAGGTACCGAGTGGCCACTGAAAGATAAACAAAAAAAAAAACAGCAGGCAGCTGGTGTGGATAAACTTTTTAAAAATTGTAATGAACGTTTACAATTTCTTGCCGCGCAATGCTCGTGACTATTGATCGACCGACGCAAATAAACTTTTTTTCAAAATTAAAAATTTTAATAGTACGGCTATTAATATTATATTTAAGGCGTCATTCTTAGCAAAGTCAGGTCGCAGTTTTAAAAACATTATTGTTCCTCCTTGCCGCGAATATCTGACATTGTCTTCAAAACATAATAATGTAAGTTTTGGCAGATGCCTCTTACCGTACTAAATGATCGTTTAAAAACTCTTCTTAGAACTGCTGGAAGGCAAAGTTTTGGAGTCACATGTTTTTGTTTTCAACCACGTAATTTGATGCTTTCTGTGGGTTCTAACCGTGAATGTTTGAAAATTAGGAGGCGCGTTTCTAAATGTCTTTTTCAGGACCGCCTCATACATTTTAATTTGTTCGCAGTAATAACTGAAAAGGTGTTACTTTGAACAGACGCTTTCGAATATTTAACAAGTTGGAGTCGGGAGGAATATTTCGCCCTACTACCAACCCAGACTGATAGGTAAATCCTTACATTGCTAATCGCTAAGCATCTATTCGTTAAGTTTGCCGCTAAAATCCTTACAAGTACCTTGATTTCAATGACAAAAAAAAAGCTGGTTGAAAGATTAATGTATTAGATAAAACAGAAAGGCACATAAGAAGAAATTGAAGGAACATCTCGGTAAACCACACGATTCCTGGGAGTGTGAAGAACACGCCGAATAATTATGTCTTTGTCTTTCAAATGAGACGAATGTAATAACTAGTTCCCCGTCAGGAAATTCAATTTACGAACACCAGTGGGAAGTGTGTATATAAACAGACAATCTGTCGAGCTGTCCTTGAGGAGTGACACAGTTTGGTCTGCGAACGTGACGTACTCCTTCGTTTTGTAAACAGGAGAGAACAGATAAAGCAAACGAATATTGAACACACTGTTTCCAAAGCATTTGTCAGAAAGCTGCTCATCTAATCAATCAACTGAAGAGAAAGAGGTTTTCAGGGATAGTTTCATTTCGCCTTGGCGATCGTTCAAAGGTAATTGGTCAGGGCGTATAGACCAAGGAACACTACGTAACGGACTGGAGGAAACGTTTGAAAAAGTTCCTTGTTGGAACACGTAATAATTCAACTGAATCTCCAACACCTCCGAACTGTGGCCAGCTCTGTCAGCCAAAAATAATCTTCGGTGGAATAAAAAATCAAGCTCAGATTCGAGCTCTATTGAAAAACAAACAAACAAATAAAAAAAACGAAGAAATCAGGCAACACGACTTATTCGCAAGCAGCGAAGAACAGAACATTTGAATGGCCGCAAATGAAAGTCTATCGGTGAACTTTAACAATCTAAGGGATTTGTACATGAAGTTTGAGCTCGCAGAGGGAATTTGCCTTCCAGTTCTGTCTGTTTTAACGGTTTCAACCAACATTTTACTCTTGATAGCGATATGGAAAGACCCGGAGAAAAACTTTAGATCACCAACAACTTACTTCCTGATAGGTCTTGCTATTGCAGACCTCTTAACTGGCATGTCGACCGAGCCATTTTTCGCCGTTTATCACATCATGAATTTCCAGAGTGGAGGCAAGCCTATTCCCAGAGTTGTTACCAAACTCTACAACATAGGACAGTCAATATCAACTGTAACTATAAGCTCCTCGTATTTAATAATCCTGGGTCTGTCGATATCGCAATACATTGCCATTAAGTGGCCACACAAGTACAAAGTTTTAATCACGCGAAATCGCGTCATCGTAAGTGTTCTACTAAGCTGGTTGTACTTCATTTGTTTCACGCTAGTCCCGTCTTTCACACCAAACATTGATCACCAATTGTTCCTGAAGGTAGATCTGGCCTTGCATCCTGTATTGATTTCCACCATTTTATTCACAACGTTAATTTTATTATACAGAGTTTTCTCGCAGGAAGTTCAGCGAAGGCGATCATACAGAAAGTCAGATAATCAGAAAGGAACTGTCAGGGGCAAATCGGAAAATCTTCAACGGCAGTTTGTAATAGTCACGTTTTATTTGGCAGCAATTCTTCTGATTTCAGCTTTACCTCATATCGCTATTCAATTTGTCTGGCTGTATGTAGCTCTATCTGAGGAAGGATTATATTACACCTTCATGGCTTTACGGGTTCGAGATTTGTTGCTCTTTCTCAAAGTGGCGCTTGATGCTTTCATATACGCGTGGCGATTGCCTTCTTATCGTAAAGCCTTAAAAAGGTCGATAAATCATTCAAGGCGTGATAGTAAATCTTCTGTAGAAGTAAAAGGATGAGTTGAGCAGAAATGAAATATTTTTCGTCATATTGTGAAAAAAAATTAATAAGAAAGAAAGTAAAATATGACAGAAGCAGAAATTATTCAGGCTTTTAGGGAGCAGTTGTTGCTTTTTTTAAAGGAGCCTGTGTAAACAAATTCACCTGGAGAGCGGCCTTTTTAGAGAAACATTAAAAGGAAGTAAACGAGATGAATTTTATTTTTTAACTGAAAAATTTCGATTCGAAATTTATCGGGCTAATACTGGATAAGTCACGAAAGATTGTAGCTCGTTTGGGAGGCGTTTAGAGCAATTAAGTTTGTATGAATTTTATGTCATAGCGATTCTTAATAAATAATTCAGTAACAAAATAGGAAATAAATTATTATCAGAAACTCCAATACTATTGTCACATTGTCAAGTGTCATTTGTTTTGGACCAACCATATTTATGATGACCAAACTGGTTTATTGACTCGCTTCAAGTGGGATTCCAATTTATTTTTCCACTGTTTCCAAATGCGTCATCATTATGCGTCTGTATTCCTCGTCTTGTATACCGGATTTTTATCTTTTTTTTTAAAAAATGAATTTTGAAATCTTTTTCATGCTTGCTCAGTTGAATGCGAGATCAAAACCATAGCTTTTTTGGACATCCGCATAAACGAAGTGTATCGTGGTCTTCATTTGTATACACTTCCAATTCTTGAAAAGAGAGTAAGTTTAAAAAAAAAACGAGAAGGAGATTTAAAAAAATTTATGCAGAGTCACTTCGATCCTAGCGTTTTTTAAATTTAATTATTAGAACGGTTTTTTCTAATGCGCATCACGATTTTTGCCAATTGATGTTACCGACGATGTCAATTTAACCACTTTAACTGAAACTGATCTGAGGTGATCAGAATTCATTTCCTGTGCTTTCTAGAATCTGAAATTCCTTTTTATTTAAGTATTCCCTCCGGCAAGATAATTAATGAACTACTAAAAGCATTGTGTCATTTGAACTCTATTTATCCTAGATTATTATGTAAGAAACGAACCTTTTCCTGTGGCTAAGTTTTAATAGCTTTGCAAATGAACGCCACGCACACTGTTTGGAGCACTTAGTGTCCGGTGATAATTAAGTTGGCGATGTCATTTGCTGACGCAACAATCCGAACGGTAATAGGCTGATCCATTCCAACAACTCGAATTTAACACGCATGTCTTTTATTTGGGACCTTTAATTGGATTTTCCTCGAAAATTATCTATTTATCTATTGCTCTATTACTCTAAAAAAATCTACATTTTGAACGAAAAATAGGTCCTTAAACTTTTTTATGGGCAGCAGCATCTTGCCGACGCACAATTACTCCGCAAGTATCATCGCACCTGATATAACTGATTAGATACTTTTCTTTGGTTAAGGATTTTCTATCAAATGCCGTCACAGCAACTCACTTCTAGACCAAACAAAAAAAAATCACACTTTACTCTATAAAACTTTTGATAAAAGTGTCGGTGTGAACACTTCTCATTAATCACAACAGTTATGCAGGTGGTTGAACCACAAGCCGGCAGCCCGGAGGGGGCCTGGCACCATGCACGTTGCGATTGTAACAGCATCCCTTGGGTTGCACTGTGCGGTCAGGACAGCATTGGTGTGTTGCGAAAGTAAAAACACGAGAGAAACCACAGCAACCCTAAAAGATAAAGAGGGAGATATTGAGCTGAAAACGACTGTTTTAATGGATTTCTTAGCTTTCTTCTTCCCTTCCTCCTATTAATTCTAGGGGAATAAATAGGAGGGGGGGAAATTAATATGAATGAGATGTTCTAAAATTTATCAAATCTTTGATGAGCACTCCTTCCTTCCTTGTCAGAAAGTTCCACGTAATCCCCAGATTTGCGTGTATTGACGACACGATTTCATTCCCGAGCCCATATGCTCACCATGTCCTGACAGAGTAGCTAGTATTACCGTAGTTACCTGTTTAGATGGGTCATACGACATCTGGCCACAGCAGCGCGGGGATCTGATGTCCGGTGGTCTGTAGGTGATCTGTCGAGCACAGCACAACTGATTTGATGGGTAATATGGAGTTAGACCACAACAGCTCATTGCCACATTCGAACATGGCTTGGAATAAAGAACTGAGCCACAGCATACCTATGTCAAAGAAAAAAGTCTCTATCACTTTGATACGGACAGCGTAAAAAAGGTAAGGATTTACTTCTCACAAAAATCCTTAATTTGAGAATGTAAGTGACGTTAACAATATTAGGCGTCGTGTTTAATTTTTTTTCTGTTTTTCTATTTGTTTTGTTATTCCTACCCTCTGTCTGCGATCATATGGGACAGTTCCACAGCACGCATACGCAGTTGATGTTGGAGTTGGTTTTGGTATCACTCGTCGGTTGCAACAGAGATGTGTGGCTGTGTTAAATGCTTTTGGATCGAAAAACGATCTGGAAAAAAAGGCAATAGTTTTGAATACACTGTAAGTTGACCCTGAAAGATCTTGATAACTTATAAATCGCGTCAAACTTATGTAAGTTTACAGTAAAGTAATTGGAAAGGTTTTGAACCCAGAACAACTGGGATGGTACCGTTGTAAGAAGCCCTGGGTCTCCAACTGAAAATCAAGACAAGACTTACCCACAGCATCCAATTCTGGAAGGAATGGAAGGAAAGGGATCCGATGTGCTGATTACTTTACCATAACAACACTTCTGCTTTCTGGTGTCATATGTTGCCCTGCCACAGCAAGCATGTGAGTTTGAAAGCTTGTTGTGCAACTGTCTACCGCAGCATAGGGAACTCTGTGGATCATACAGTTTTGTGCCGCAGCAGCGTTGTTTGCGAGGGTCATAAGGGATGCCTCCACAACATCCTGTATGAGAAAGCGATGGTTTTGTCATTACTTGACGATTGCAACAGAGTTGATTTGCACGATTGTATGGCTCGCCGAAGCAGCACGATTGTTGGCGAGGAACATATGGACTGCTTCCACAGCACGCCGTATGAGAAGGGGATGTCTTTCTTACTGGTTGACGGTTGCAACAGAGTTCCTTACTTCGATCATACAGTCTTGTTCCACAGCAAACCTGTCCTGGCTTCCGGAGTTGTACTGTGTTACTGCAGCACAAGTATTTGGATGGGTCGTAGAGGGCACTTCCACAGCACCGGTTAAAAGGGGATGATGATGGCTTTGTTACTGGTTGACGGTTGCAGCATACTTGTTTCTTTGGATCATATAGTCCCATCCCACAGCAAAATTTTCCTCGCTGCCTGGGGAGTAGCCTGTTACTGCAGCAGATTTTTACCCTGGAGTTGTATATACTCGATCCACAGCATGCATAACCGGGTTTCTTTGGATAAACTCGGTTGAGGCAACAGACACTTGTATAATAATTGTAAGGAACGCTTCCACAACAGCGGTACGGGAAGTTTGGCGTCCGAGGAAATTTGTAAGGAGGGCCACCTTTGATCAACACAGGTCGACACTCTGGCCTCGGGGGACCTGGAGGACCTATAGGACCCGTGGGACCAGACACCTGGCAGTTGATTGCTACAACTTTAACAAATAAATAAATAAAGAAAAGAATAAATTTATAATGATTTAGTTCAAATTAATCAAAGTTTTGCGAAAAACCAATGATAGGAATGAATGAATGAATCATCTATTGTCTCGAGGCAGTTACTCACGACATTATAAAACAATATATTACGCCCAGACTTGGCTTTTCTAATAGAAATGATGGGAGAAATTTGTATTGCTCTTGTTGATGGCCCTCGCGGCCTCGGAGTTTCATTTTCATCAGTTTTTCTTGTTGATGCCAGAGACGTCTTAACTGAATTACCTTGACACCCTGACAACATAGACCAGGAAATCCAAAAGTCTGGAAGACAACGATCAAGAAACACAGAAACAGAAGTGATATAGGGAGTGACTACGTGGTAAGACAACTGTATAAAGGGTAATTAATTCATTATCACTGAATTTCACCGCGACGAGCAACCACAACCTTGTTCATACAACTGATAGACCGAAGATAGACGACGGCCCGTATTATGCTGCTGCAGATAGAGTATTATGGAATACTTATGACAACTAAGAATCACTTCTAAACACCAAAGTATAAAATTAAGACAATTAAACTCTGATTTTCGAATACTAACGATGAAG